AAATACATGATTTGAAAATATTTTCTCTCATTCTGAGTTGTCTTCACTTTCTTGAAGGTGTCTTAAAAACACAGAAGTTTTAAAGTTTGATGATATGTAATTCATTCTTTGTTGTTTGTGCTTCTGGCATCATTTCTAAGAAACTATTCAGTAAATCCAAGGTCATGAAGATTTACTCCTTTGTTTTCTTCTAAGACTTTTGTAGTTTCATCTTTTACATTTAAATTTTTTATCCCATTTTGTGTTAACTTTAGTAAGTGATGTGAGTTAGGGGGTCGAATTTCATTATTCTGCAGCTGTCCCAGTTCTATTTGTTGAAAACACTTTTCTTTCCTTATTAAATTGTTATGGCACCCTTGCTGCAAATCAATTCACTGTAAATATAAGCATTTATTTCTGGACTCCTAATTGTATTCCATTGATCTATTTTTCTATTCTTATCCTAGTACCACACTTTATTGATTACTGTAGCTTTGTCATGGTTTTGAAATTGAAAAGTCTGACCAACATTCTGTAGCCACACTCTGCAGTTGTTCCTTCTAAAGAGGAATAATATGTTTCTCCACACCTTGCCTTTGGCTGAGCTCTCTGACTTTCTTTGGCCTATAGAATAAGGGAGAAGTAACAGTGTGACAATTCCAAGCCTAGTTATTAAGAGACTTGATTGATTCTGATTTTCTTTTGTACCTCTGCCCTAACCTAAGTTTTCTCAGCAGTTTGAGAAAGATGAGAGGCATGTAGGGTAGATGTTCCACACTTGACTCTCGACCTTCAGCAAGAAGGAGAACAAGTAGTCCTAGCTACTTGACTGTGAATCAGAGCTGCCCTACCAAGCCCAGAGGAACCTCAACCAACTGAAGATACATGAAAAGAAGGCACAACTTTTCTCTAAGGAAAGCCTAGGATCTTCCATGAGAAGATTATGATGGACAGTGTTCTTAACTGTCTGTTTATACACACTGTGTTCTTAACTGTATTTACAAACACTGTACATGTTCATTGACGATTAGTAGATACTGGAAGAATTAGAATGGAAGATCCACTCCATATAGTTACTAAAGGGATCATCTGAGTTACACCATCTGTCTTCTGGAACTTGCAGACTCTGATTGATTTTCAAGATGCAAGTCAAGGCTAGCAATGTACCCCAAATGTCAAGAAAGACTTTGAATAGAATCAACACTGGAGGGAAAAAAAAAAAAAAGACTGGTGTGATGGAGAAAGGAGGTTGCAATGATGTCAGTCTGGAGGATGAATTAAGTTTCATGGCAAGAAGGAACCCAAAGGAAGCTTTTCAGCTATCCAGATGTGGACCAACTAGCACCAGTTGTCTATTTTTGTATGGGGCAGATTGTTGGACCCGACTAGACCCTACCTTATGGGGTCTGATAGCTTAACGTGGTTTGAATCAAAATGATAAAACTTGCAAATTCAGCAAAAGAAAATGCATAATATAAGCAAGATTTTAAAGAAAGTGCATAGTAGTATACTAAAGGAAAAAATGTTTTCAAAATATTTTAACAGCAAGTTCCAAATAAGAAATATACTAGTTAAGTAGATGTTATCTGTCTACCCAAGTATTAAATCTACCTATTTTCCTACTCATTGAGGTACATGTTTTCAGATATAGTAAAAATGAATTTCCTTTGAAAATTATAAATTGTATTTCTCTTCTTTTTATGATTATTCTTAAATATGAACACATTTAATAATTAATTACCATTTCTATCCTGAATAATTTAAGGTTTTTAAAATGCTTTGCCCTCAGTCTAACGACCCTTTGCCTCTTCCTTCAGTGTTCTACTTTTGTAAATCATCCTTCTTCTTTACTTCATTACCAATTAGTCTTTTTTTAGGTCAGTGTATATCTGAATTTGCATGACACTTAGCAGTTAATTTGCTTATGTTCATTTCTTCTAGGTTCAATCTCTTTTCTCTTAGTATATCCTTTATTAACTCTTCCAACAAAGTTAGATATTTTTAATTCTTAACTTTATTTTTTTTAAAAAAGGTTATTTAAGAATTTTTAATTATGGGACCAGCAGTTAGCGTAATGTCTATGTCACTGAACTCCCATGTAGTTGACCGCGGTTCAAATCCTGGACCTGGTGGCTTAAACTCACAGCAGGTCCGTGTGGGTGCGTGCCCAAGATCCCAAGAGGAGAATAAAGGAGGTAGGTATTGCAGCATGGCCATCCCCCCTGGCGGGGGTGATTTCTTGCTTTCTGTCTCTCTGTCTCCCTGCCTTTCTGGCAAGTACATGTGCCCTATAGCAAAAACCTCTTCAAAAAATAAATAAGTGAAAAAAAGAATTTTTAATTTAGAAAAAAATGGAAACCAGCCATAGGAAAAAAAAAATAGAGAAACAGTATTGAACTTCCTGTATTCATCAACCCCAACAAACTTATATGTATGGCTACTTTCTTCAATTATAGTTTTGTTGGGTATAGTTTAATTGAAGATATATTCCTAGGTAATAATTCTTGATATATCTTTTACTTTCTAGTTGTAATTCCTGTATAGTCTGTCTTTTCCATCTGTTTGCTTTTATAGTATCCACTTTTCAATATTACTGTATGCAATTTTACCATTATGTATCATTACATAGGTTTTCATTGATCTTGCCTAGTACTATTGGTTTCTACAATTTTATATATTTAATTATTTTTTTCTTTTCTCTTTCTCTCCTTTTTTTTTTTGCCTTACGGCATGTGTGTTTGCCTCCAGGGAGAGAGGAGAGAGAGAGAGACAGACACAGTGAGAAAGAAAATGAGAAATCACCCCCCAGGACGGATGGCCATGTTGCAATCCCTTCTCCTCTAATGATCCTGGGCACACATGCACATGCGCCTGGCGTGATTTTGAAGCCACTGGGTCCCAGATTCAAACCACAGTCAGCCATGTGGGAGTCCAGTGATGTAACCACTACACCATCTGCTGGTCTCTTATATATTTAATACTGAAAACTTGTTATTTATTATCACTTCAAATATTTTCTCTTCCCTTTTCTTTCTATATAGTCCTTATGGAATTCCTTTTAGAAGTATACTTGACCTCATCATTTAATTCTACATGACTCTGTGTGTGTGTGTGTGTGTGTGTATGGGTGTGTGTGTGTGTGTTTGTGCGAGACTTCTGATTTACATATAATAATTGTACATTATTGTGGGATAGTGATTTTTTAGAGTATGCATGTAGTGTGTAATAATCAAATCAGGGATGTAGGCATAACCATTTTATTCAACATTGAGCATTACATATATGCAGATTTCATAATAGTTCTAAGAATTTCTTTTGGAGCATATTGTGAATTGTCAACATTTTTTACTCTGCTATAATACACCATTCCAACCTATTCCACTTATTTACATTCATTCTTATGTCTGTTAATCATTTTTTCCTGAATGCCCCACCCACCCCATGCAGCTTTGGCATGATATTTTACAAAATGAACATAGCTTTGTAACCAGCACAGATCAAGAAACAAAAGATTTCCAGAACTCCAGAAGTGCTCTCTGGTCTCTTCAAGTTGTGCTCCCCACCTTCAAGGGTAACCATTGTCCTGACTTAAAGCGCCATGACTTTGCCTATTGTTGAATTTTATGGCAACTGAATTGTACAGTGCAAATATAATATCTAATGGGTTATATTCTTCTCCAGATAACCTATATGCCCTTACTTTTAATACTTCTGAAGTAGTAGCATTAAAGATCCTCTGTAAGTCTTTATATTAAATGGTTGACCTTCGTACTTAACTTCTATGTTAGTAATTTTAGGAATCTTAGACAAGTTTTCATGTTAATGATTTGGTTTAAAAATCCTGTTCTCAAAAGACATAAGTTCAGATTTTTAACTTTGGATATAGGTCTAGAGTTTCTGTTCTTTTAGGAGTATTGCTCTTTTCCACATGAGTTCTCCTGTCAGACTATATGCTACTTAGTTGTTTTTGTGTCCTGGTGAGTAAAGTTTTACCTATTCTGTTTTTATGGACCAAAAAAAAAAAAAAATCCTTTAAGTCTTCAAGCTTTATGGAGTATTACTGATACAGCTGTCCAACCAGTGTCACCCCAAAACATGCATCTTGTCTTTTCTTGGACATGAAAATCTTAGCCCTAAGACCCTTTGGCCCTTTCCTGATTTACCTTGTGGGTCATTAATATGTCAGTTCCCATTTATACAGTTTTGTACTCCGTATGCCCTTTGAATCTGAATATTCTTTCTTTCTTTAAAGTCATATATGTGGGGGTCAGCAGGTGGCATGGTGGTTAAGGTGCTGGACGCCCACATGCCTGACTGCTGCTGGAGTCCTAGACCTGGCAGCTTGCTTTCTCACTTCTCTTTCTCTGTTTCTCTTTGTCTCTCCTTGGTGAGCACAAATTGAAAATAATAACAATAATAAATAAAATTAAATAATTTTTTAAAGTCATATATATGTATAAAACAAGTTACTTGGACTTGTCCTATAGCCTAATAGTTAAGGGATCCAGATCCCACATGGGTAACCATGGTTCTAGTCAGAGGCCCAGTGGCTTAAAAATTATGCCAGACATGTACCAAATTCCTATAGGAAGGAGAAATGGATGAGAAAGGATTGTGGAGTGATCACATCTCAATCAGGGGTGCTTTTTCCCTCTTTGCCTTTCTCTCTTTCTTTGGTGAGCACAGGTATCCTATGGCAATTTAAGAAAAAGCTTATAGTTATTAAGTATTCGTATGTGTTTGTGGAGGTGAACAGCCATGAAGGGGTGGATAATATAGAAATAGGCATCCATATGAGATTGGTCTGTCAGTACTTGATGTGGAACAGATGTTGAGCAGTTGCAATTGCAGTGACTGTGCACTAGTTGACTAGCTTGCCAGGCGTTTAAAGCTGTTGACCACAGGGCATTATTTTTTTCCAGCAGTAGGAGAGGTTAAATTACTTGGGCTGTGTAAGAATCATTATTTTACTGAGCTGATCCAGTTTTATATAAACTAACTCAACTGTTGGTGTTTTATAGGTGCAAGTTTCAAAAAATAAAATTGAGAAGAAAAAGCCCAAATTTAGAAAACAGAAAAGGTATGTTTTTTAAAATTAAAATGTATTATGATAAAATTAAAATATATGTATGTATTACATGATATTTCCTTGATTCTTAATTTTGTTAAGATAAAATTGAAATATATGTATGTATTACATATTTCCCTGATTCTTAATTTTGTTAAACTAAGAAAACATTGTGCTTAAAATTTTCTAAAAGAATCAATAAGTAGTAGTTTTAGAAGTCTTACTTTTATATAAATATCTTAAACCAGAACTTTTCATCATTAATATCATGTAAGTAACCAGAAGAGAATTAGGTTTTTAATTTAAAAATAGGTACTACAAACAAAGAGGCCTTCACAAATGAACTAATAAGCTACTGGTTACAAATTTTGGTATTTATCACTGAATCAGCCATAGTTTATTTTTTTAAAGAATAATGATCATTGCTGTTTTAAAAGGAGTCCTCATCAAAAACAAGACTAACACTGTTAAATAGTCCTCTTTTTCTTTGTGCTTTTGCGGAAGATGAATACTGGATTTTAAAAATGGACTTTCACTGCCTTACTTGAGCTACACTTCCTCCTAACTCCATCAAATAGGAAGTATATCGTAATTATTCCCATTTAAAAGATGAAGAATTTGTAGCTTTGAGAAATGAAGTAATATAAGATTTTATGGTTAGAGGAAAATGAATTTGAACAAATGTCTTCTGACTCAAAATCAGCAACATAGTATTGGGAAATAGCATGAATTTTGGAGTCTGACAGAATTTAGTTCTGTCATGTTCAACCACTTAACCTGTGTTGTCAATTTTTCATTTTCTCTAATATCTCAGATTTGTCAACTTTCTATTTCTTTATATAATGAAAACAATGACTTGATAGGTTTTATGGAGAAGGATTATATGGAAAGACCTGCTTAAGGTGCTTGTAAATCATTAGTGCCTGACGCCTAGTGAGAGTTCAGATTATTAGTCCCCTTTGCTTTTTCACTGCGTCACAGTGTCTTACTGTATAAAACGACCAAGAGAAGGTACCTGAAAATAGAGAAACACATATTCATAATCTGTAATTACCAATGAATATACTTGAATGGTCATTTAAATATGTATCATTTTTATCTTTTGAAACTAAATCTGTCAAATTATTTTCCTAGGAAAGGAAATTTAAAATGCTCTTTGGAAAATGTTTGCTCAGATGATGCCTTATCAAAGGAAAACATGGGTAAGTGAAGGCCTGTCTTGCTTTTAGCCCTTTCACTTGTATTTAATTTTACAAAACGTACCAGTAGTTCTTCAAAGAAAAGAAAATCTGTGTGTGTGTGTGTGTGTGTGTGTGTGTGTGTGTGTCTAACATTAATGTTTCACTCTGGTATTGATTTACATTACTGAGGCTTTTCAGTTGTCCTTAGGTTACCTTTTTGGTTACCTCTTCCCTTTGCCTCACATAATCAGTTCATATATTCCTGTATAAAAGCAAAAGTTTGTGTATCTGTGAACTGAATTTACTCTAGCAGTTCCTGGCACAGTCGCTGAGGGCTCTAACTCTTGAGAGCCTTCTCCCCTCCAACCTAACACAGGACACTACAGAAGCAGCCACTGCAGCTGGGGGCATCCACTGCCTGGACAGAACTCTTCCATGCAGTACATTAGTGAGCACATCTCAGTAGTTATCCAGACAAAGGGAAACCACTTCAGCAGTCTCACGTTCAAAAGGTAATTGTTAAAATCAATTCATCTGATCTTTGTTTTAATCCACCCTCCACAAAGAACTAAAGAGCTAGAATATCCTATCTACTATTTATTGCAAGAGCTGATTTTCTTCCTGAAGACACATTTCTTTTTCAAGTTGAATCTTCCTTGAGTTCTTTATTCCCTACCCACATTTCTGTGGCTACCTAATTCAAGCCTATGATAGCTCTCATTTCTTCATAGCTTAAAATAGGATTAGTCTTGGACCAATTGATAGAAGACAAGTTATACCATATTCTTGAATCCAGTCCCACATCTTGGACGTGCTTTTCATACTCTCCCAGTTGCTAAAGTTTCCCAGAAGTTTTCTGTTCCATGTTTTCTATCCCAGTATTGGCTTTATGTGGCAGTCATTATTGTTTTTCTTTACCTTAGAGATCAGGAGCAGAGCTAAATAAGTACAACTAGTTTATCTATCCAAGTATTAGTTTCCTCGCCTGTGGAAAAAGAGAAGTACTAGAATCCCTCGTATTCAACAAACATAGGACCTGTTTCTCCACATTAATAGAAAAAGCTGAAAAATTATTAAGTAATTTAAGCCATATGCCCATGGATATATGAAGATTTAATCTAAGAAATAAATCTTCATGGAACATTGCCTACATTTGGGGGAAAATTGCTGCCAGGAATATTATATATTATATTTGTATTTTGTCCTAACTTATCTTTTCAATATCTGAGCTAAGAAAATATATCTATGATGACATAATGATAATAGCATAATGATGATGATGATCAATACCTATAATAACTATGTTTTTTACTGTTCTAAATACTTCATATATATATTTATGTGTGTGTGTGTGTGTGTGTGTATGTGTGTGTGTGTATATATGTATATATATATATTTACCTATTGTAACACAAGATCTGTACAAGGTAGATATAAAGTAAATATTTCATTTCTCCCATTTTATTATTTTTTAAATTTTAATTTATTTTATACATTTAGTCACTATGCATCACTTAACTTGTAAATTTATCCAACATGAATACACTTCATACCAGTCCAGTTGAGGATACTATACATATTGTCATCAATAGATAATGATCTATTTTTGTGTCCCATAAATGTCTTGCCTCTTTATTTTCCTCCTTAATTTCTTTTCTCCTACTCTCTCCATTCTTCCACCGTCTTCCCACACTGTCTCCAGTATCCATAACCATTTTTCATGCTTTTATATCCTCTCAGCTTTCAGATTCTACCATATTCTTAATATTATGTGGATAGTTGGTATATATTAAGAGAGACATGTCTCTTTAATAGCCTGGCTTGCTTCATTCAACTGTAACTCTTCCATCTTCATTCACTTTCTATCAAATACCAGGATCTTGTTGTTCTTTATGGCAGAGTAGTATTCCATAGAGTATATATGCCACACTTTTTAATCCATTCATCTGTTTGTGGACCTTTGGCTTAGTTGCATGTCTTAGCATTTGTGAATAATGCCAAAATAAACATAGGTGGACAAGCACTTTGCCAACTGAGCATTCTCCTATCCTTTGGGCATAGAATTGCTGGATTGTATGGTAGTTCTATTTGTAGATCTTTGAGGGACCTCGTATTGTTCTCTATGGTGGCTGGACCAATTTAGATTCTCATCAACAGTGTAGGAGAGTTCCCCTTTCACCATAGCCCTGTCAGCACTTACCATCTTTTGTTGCTGTTGTTGTTAAATCTTAGCCTTTCTAATTGGGGTAAGGTGGTATCTCATTGTGGGTTTGACCTGCATGTCCCTTATGATGAGGGATGTTGAACATTTTTTTCATAGGCTTTTTGACTTTTCATTTGTCTTTTTTAGAGAGTTGTCTGTTCAGCTCATTTCCCCATCTTTTTATTGGATATTTTATTGGGTAAGCCACATGAGTTCCTTTAGATTCTGGTTATCAGTCCCCTATCTGAGGCATAGATTACGAAAATATTCTCCCATTTTGAGGGTTATTGATTCTGTGTCTTTTGCTGTGCAGAAACTTCTTAATCGGATGTAACCTCAATTCAGGGATGTCCTTCCACTTCTTTGTGTCATTTTCAGTTTCTTTTCTAAGATTGTCATAGTTTTCCTTATATGGGTCTTTGACTTCCTTGGTTAGATTTATTCCTAGGTATCCTATACTTTTTGTGGTTATGGTGAATGGAATTTCTTCAGTCCTACCTCCATCTGCTTGTTGTTCATATATAGAAATGCTATAGATGTTTTTATGTTGATTTTTGTATCCTGCCACTTTACTGTATTCATTTATCACTTCCAGGAGTTTTTCTGTTTTCTAACTGCATTGGCTAGGACTCGCAGCACTGTATTGAAAAGAAGTAGAGAAAGTGGGCAGCCTTGTCTTGTGCCAATTTTTAGTGGAAAAACTAAGTTTTTTCTTCATTCATTTTTTTAAAACTAATTTTTTAAAATTTTATTTTATTCATTGTCATTATTTTACTTTACTATTTTGAAGTTGAGCAGAGAGACAGAGAAAGAGAAGGAAAGTGAGAAAGAAAGATGCCAAGTCCTGGATTCTAACTGTGGTCAGCTGTGTGAGAGTCCAGCCGCCTTAACCACCACACCACCTGCCAGCCCCTTTTTGTCTCTCCTTACATTTTTTCTTAAAGTCTGTTTTGTCTGAAATCAGTATCATGACTCAAACCCTTTTTCGGTTTCCATTTGCATGGAATACCTTTTAGCCCTTCACTTTTAGTCTATGTATGTCTTTATCCATGAGGTGCATTTCTTGTAGGTTTTTTTGTTTGTTTTTTAATTCATTCAGCCAGTTTGTGTCTCTTGATTGGGGAATTTAATCTATTAACATTCAACGTTTTTACTGATATTTCCGAACTTTCCTGTTGACCATCTTCCTGGGCTTTTTGATGGTTGTTCTTTTATTTCTGTCTGTTCTCTTTAGCTTTCTTGGTATAGCATTCCTTCAGCACTTCTTGAAGAGCTGGTCTTCTGTTGGTAAATTCTTTCAGGCTTTGTTTACCTGAGGATGTTTTTTTATCTTTTCTTTCCATTTGAAGAATAATCTTGCTGGGTATAGTAATCTTGGTTGAAATTGTTTTTCTTTTAATACTTTGAATATATTTTCTTATTCTTTCCTTGCTTGCATTGTTTCTGCTGAGACATTCAATGTTAGCCTGATGGAATACTCTTTGTAAATAACTTGATATTTATTGCCATTTTTTTTGTTTGTTTCTGCATAAGCATTTTTTAATTAATTAATTTACTGTCATTCACTGTATATCAATACAGTATACAAAATGAGATTTTTCTATCCTGTATACATTGTATATTGGCTCAATCAAGGATATTATCATACAAGTTATCATCAACAAAAAAATTTCTATTGCTTGTTTCTTATAAATTTTGCCTTTTTAACCTCCCTTGATTCCCTACTCCTCACCCTCTGCCAACTCCCCCCTTCTCCCATACTGTCTCTGGTATGTACAATTGTTTTTCATGCCTTTTTTTCACATTTTACTGATTCACTAAGGATCTTAATTAATTTAAACACTTTCAATAGCAAGCATAGCTGATATATACATATTTATGAATGCATGTCTGACTTCAGGCATAAACCTCAGAGAATAAAATAAATATACTATAAAGTAGCACCTCACTGGGGATATATAGCTTACTACAGTCATTAAATAGGTATTAACAGGTGTTTTGCTGAGACTAAGTTTTTTGTTTGGTTTTGAGAGGTTTTTGCTATAGGGCACATGCGCTTACCAGAAAGAGAGACAGAGAGATAGAAAGTGAGAAATCACCCCCCAGGGGGATGGCCATGCCACAATCCCTTCTCCTCCATTCTCCTCTTGGGATCTTGGGCACATACACACACGCGCCCAGTGTGAGTTTAAGCCACCAGGTCCGGGACTTGAACCATGGTTGACTACATGAGAGTTCAGTGACATAGCCATCACGCTAACTGCTGGTCCCAATAGGTATTTTTAATGCATTTTTAATTCCAAAAACGCTTTAGTTTTAATAGATCAAAATCAAAAATTGTTAAGAGACATTTACTTAAAACTTAAAGCCAGGAATAAAGTTAGGATTCAGTTCAAATATAAGGCAGATGAACCTATTAACAGTTCAAGAGAAGACAAAAATCCTTAAATATGGAAATCAAAGCATTGAAGAAAATCAGTAATGTTTTAGTCTAAAGTAAAAAAATTCTATTTTACTAGTTCAGACTCATGTAATTAATCTCTCTTCTATTGCATTTGCAGTGTTACTGTGGTCTGATCTTTTCATTTAAACTCTGGAGGTTAACATTCAACTCCAGACTTGTCTCTACCACTGGGCTGGCCATTCTCCTGGTTGGTTCTTGTACTCATATTTCTGTGTGTTCAACTTTAGTTTTCCTGGTATAGCACTCCCTTAAGCACTTCTTGGAGATTTGGTCTGGTGTTGGTAAATTCTTTCAGGTTTTGTTTATCTAAGAATGTTTTCGTCTTTTTTTTTTTCCCTATATGAAAGATAATCT